CTCCTCCTACTCCTCCTCCTCCTCCTCCTCCTCCTCCCCCTCCTCCTCCTCCTCCTCCTCCTCCTCCTCCTCCTCCTCCTCCTCCTCTTCCTTCTCACACTTCCTCGTCCCCTCACTCTTTCTTCATTCATCCCTCTCCTCCTCTTTCCTCCTCCCCCGACCCTCCTCTCCTGCTCTCCCGACTCTCCCCCCGCGGCTTTCGGGGCCCTCTGGGACGATTCGGGCACACCGGGAACGCCATCGATGAGGCGCGGCTGCTGAAACGCATCCCGAGGCCGAAAACACCTAGGAACCTACGAAGACTCTCCAAACAGCCCCCCCCCCCCTCAAAGCAGGCATCGAGGAGGAATACAGCGCCAGCAGGGCGCGCCCTGAGGAGGAGATGTGCAGCCGCACCGCCGGCGCCTGGGGCCAACGCCTCGAGGGCAGATGAGGAGGTGCACGTCACCACTGGCCACCGTGCCCGCGGCCGACGCCTCTTCCGCCCCTCCGCCTCCCTCCCCTCTTCCTTCGATTGCGCACAACACGGTGGGGCTCTCTGTGGAGTTTCCGGATGGCCATGGCACGCGCCAGCGGACAGAGGAACAATCAGCGCAGTGGGAAGGAATGGGAGGGAGGGGTAGGATGTCAGATCATCTGGTGCAAGCGCGCCTGTGAGAAGGAGGAGGAGGAGGAGGAGGAGGAGGGCCCTCCTGTGAGTCCAGAGCTCATACACGTCCACCGCCCAGGGAGCCGACCTCTCAGAGCACCAGGGGCCGGGGCACATGGACACAGCCGCCACCGTGCCCCCTGGCACACCGAAGCCGAGAGTGATCCTGCTCTCCCCGAGCCAAGGTCGAACCGGAGAGAGTCGCGCTCATCCGGGGCGCGCGCGCCCTGGGTTGTCACGCGGTTGTCCCGTGGTTGTCCCATAGTCGATATGTGGTTGTCCCGTGTTTGTCCCATGGTTGTCCCGCGGCTGTCCCACACTTGCCCCATGGTTGCCCCGTGTTTGTTCCGTGGTTGTCCCGCGGTTGATCCGCGGTTGTCCCGTAATTGTCCCAAACTTGTCCCTCTGTTATCCCATGGTTGCCCCGTGGTTGCCCAATAATTGTCCTGTAACTGATCCGTGGTTGTCCCGTGGATGTACCATGGATGTCCCTCAATTGTCCCGTATTTGTCTCCTTATTGTCTCCTGGTTGTCCCGTGAGAGTCCTGCGGTTGACCGCGGTAGATAATGGAACCGATAGCTAGCAACATTGGCATACAGAAAGATACGGAAACGAGATTGTCATATAGATGATGTGAACGTTCGGTAGTCGTACTGATGGATGCATTGGGCATGAGATCGGTCAGTAAGCATAATGACCAATATGCAGTGGGATCGGCTGAGGTGTTGACAATGGTATATGTATCGTGGTAGAACAGACGATCGATTGTCCTGTGGCTGATCCATGGTTGTCCTGCGGTTGTCCCGCCTGTAGGCGATCGACCGTGAAGCCGATAAAGCAGGAGTGTTACCGAAACGTGCGCTGGTAGCTAAAACTACGCGCGCGCGCTTCGCGCGCACAGGGTATAGTAGCCCCAATCCTTGATCAGCTCACAACTGCACTCGTTTACGTACCCACGAACGGTATGAGTATGAATTAAGCACTACTAAGTTCGCGGACTGGGCAGTGACACAATACAGACAAAGATGCACAATCATACATTGAATGCGAAGCTACGCAAATGAATACAGTAGTGAGACGAATGCAATGCTTTACAATGGATCTGCGATGCAATTCGTTGCCATTGAAATTTCACGCAAAGGAGATGTAGCGGATTGCATCGTAGAGCTGCACTTTGCGAGCCGGATTGATACGTGATGGCCCCATGGCCAGAAGCCAGGCGCGACCTCACAGTGTAAAGAAATTCCACGCCCAGATCTCAAGCCAACTTCAGCGGCTTGACCGTATCCAGCTCCCCGGCAAAACTCCCGGCCTCCGCCCCGATCCCCGCGGACCTCAGCGCCGCCAGGGACCAAGCCGCGGTCGCGGCGCTGCGCGGGGTCAGCTGCCCGCGGTCCGCGTGCGCGGCCAGGGACGCGAGCAGGCGGCGGAGGCGCCCCTGGAGCGGGGAGGGAGGCCAGCAGGAGGGGGGGAGGGGAATGACCGAGGGGGGGATGAATGAAGGGATGAGGGGCGGGAGAATGACTGAGGGTACTGATGACTGAGGGGAGGGCGGGGGGAAGGACTGAGGCGGGGGGGGGGGGGTGAGGGAGGGGGGGAAGAGGGGGGGGGGGAAGGGGGGAGGGGGGAGGGGGGAGGAGGGAGGGAGGAAGGAGGAGGGGGGAATGTCTGAGGTGGAGGGGGGGCTGGGAAATGACTGAGGCAAGGAGGGGCGGGGCGCGGGGGGAGGGCGTGAAGGAGACGCCGTGGGGAAGGGAGGGCGGGCCCCAGCTCACAGCCCTGGGCGGCGGGAGCGGGCGCGCCCGTGGAGAGCTGCAGGAAAACGGGCGCCGCGCCGCCAGGGAGGGGGGGCAGGTGGGGGGAAGAGCCAAGTTAGCCAGGCCGAGCGAGTCACAGGGACTCGCCTGGTCCCCCCCTCCCTTCCCACAGCATAGGGATCAGTTGTGGCACAGCTTGATCTTGGGATTGGAGCGCGCTGCCACCTCGCAGGCGGAAGGCACTCGCGCGCGGCACCGCTGCGGATGACTTGGCGGAGGCAAAACTACGCAAGCCGCGTAGGGGCAGGAGCGGGAGGAGCCGGGGGGGTGCCGGGAAAGCTTTTTCGTATGCATATTCGTCTGCTCCCGGAGCTCCTTGTCTGGAGGCCTCCCAAATGAGCTCCGAGCAGATGAGGTCGGAAAATTCGCCACATCACCGCGATTCATCCGCGAGGTCGGCGTGGAGAACATCGGTTGTGGAGCCCATGGGGAATGCCATATCGCCATCGTGATACCAGAAAGAATGATGCAGAAGGAGAGCGACGGGGCGTTTCTGGCCATGGCGAGCTGCGGCCACGACAAACTCCCCATTCTAATTTGAATAACCGGCCCGAGAAACTAGAGTCCCTCCTGAGCACAAACAAAGTAATCCTCATTTCAGCGTCTCGGCTGCGGAGGGGAAACCGTTGCAAGCGACAACGAAATTGTAACGAAATCCGGCTCCAGGACAACGGCGCGCGCAAGGATGACGAAGACGACGATGGCAAGCAGGATGAGGAGGTGAAGAAGAGGAGCAGGAAAACGACGGGAGCGAGGACAAGGAAGAGGTGAGGAGGAGGAGGGATCCTGCTCGAGCGTCTTCGGAGAGCACCCAGACTTGGCCAGCCGGTACAGAGCAGTGGTGCCGTGGACGGCCTCGGTGGACGCGGATCTGCAGGCAATGGGACAGATAATCTCAACAGGGCAGAACGAAGAAGGAACGGGAGGGGTGACGCCGACAGCAGGGAGAAGGGAGGGAGAAGGACAAGGGAGGGTCAAGGAAGAGGGAGGAGAAGGAGGGATGAGGTGAGAGGAGGCAAACTAAGCGCCCTTGCCATGTCTGACATCCTACCCCTCCTGCCTAGCAATTTTCCCACTGCGCTCAAGTAACTTTCTGTCCCCTGGCTGTGGTGTCCTGCAACCACTGGGGTATTTCTCCGAACGCGACACCGAAGCCGTCGAACAGTCGGAAGACAAATGCATGCTGCTGCTACCCAACCATATGTATGATGCTGCTGTTGCGCCTTCCACAAAGCCAAAGTCGAAGGACCCCACGCTTCCCCTTTGGGTCATCCACTCCTTTACCGAAATGTTATGCAGGGGCTCCCTCAGGACATCCTCGTAATCTGCCTGATGGGGCCCCTGATTTGGCCAGGCGCCCCGCCCGAAACATCATCAACAACGTTTGCCTGGCAAAGGCCTGCTTGGTCTGATTTGGGGCCGGTTTCGCTTGGAACGTCCTCAGAATTTGCTTGATTTGGCCTGGTCTGGGGCCGGTTTCGTGTGAGGCATCCTCACAACTTGCCTTGTTTGGCGTGGCTTCGGCACGGTTTCGCCTGAGGTGTCCTTACCATTGTCCTGACCAATTCCGGTACGGTTTTGAGACGTCCTCCCAACTTGCCTGATGTGGGTTGGTTTCGGCACGGCTTCGCTTAAGAGGTCCTCGCGATTCCCCTGGCTTCGCCTGATTTGTGCGCTGGAACGCCGTTATGATTTTCACGGTTTGTCCTGGAATGGGTGCAGCGTCGCCTGAGATGTTCTCACGATTGTCCTGTTTTGGCCTGGCTTGGGTGCGGTTTCATCTGAGACGTCTTTACGATCTGCCTGGTTTGGCCGCGGTGTCGCTTGAAACGTCCTCACAATATGCCCGATTTGTTATGATTCGGGGTGAGCGCAAAACCGCTCAGTAGAAAACGGGTGCAAACTATGAGGTGCAAGCCATGTGATGCAAGCTACGTGGCGCAAGTTCTGCGGTGCAAGCGGTGTGGAGCAAGCGAGGCGGCGCTGTAATCTATGTGGTCCAAAAGTATGTGTTGGAAGCTCTGCGGTGTAAGTTTTGTGACTCATGTCGCCTCGCTCTCGATAAAAAATGGCTGTCTGAAAGCTGGCCTTAAAGGAAAAATTCCCCGATGCTGTAGATGACCTTGGTCGCCAAACTGGCCTCATCGCGTGATGCATCAGACAGGGGGGTGCTATACATTTGAGAAGGGGGAGCAGAAGAAAGAGGAAGAGGAGGATGGGGAGGTGGCGGATGAAAAGGAGGATGAGCGGGATGACGAAGAAGTAGGAGCATAGGAAGAGCAGGAAGACTAGGGAAGGCGGGGGAAGAGAAACCATGGGGACGGCAACAACGAGGAGGGAACCGAATCCGGAAATGTGGCCCGCACTGGGGCGCGAGCGTCGATCCAGAAATGTGGCCAACGCTGCAGCAGGAACACCATCCTTGAAAGGCTGAGAACGTTCTGATTCGGCAAGCACAGGGGAAGCCAACTCCGGACAACCCCGTGCGTATGTGAGAACACGGTATGTGGGATACACGGGCGAAAGTAACGACAACATCTGGGGCGAGAGGGGAGCAGCAATCAGGCCGACCTTGTACAGGAGGCGCAGGAGCAGAAGGGGGGAGGTGCCAGGCGTGGTGGATCACTTTGCCTCAACCTGCGCGCTGTCAGGGGGGCGAGGATCGGCGGAATGGTGGCCAGGCTGCCCTGCTCAAGATTTTCTGTGCCCCCTGCGGCCTGCTGGGGGCGGGGACTTCGAGACGACTCCAGAGGTCAGGCTCCCCGTCAGCAGCGCGGCGCCCCCCGAAAAATGGGAGCCCTTGGCGCCCAGAACGCCGCCGCGGGGTCGAGCCTCAATGGCATCCGCCGGCGGGACGCCGCCTCCCGGACCCCCCTGGACCGCGCCCTCTTTGGAGTCAAAGCTGCGTCCCCTGTCGGGGTTTGGAACGGTCGGGCTTCCCTCTCTCCTCGTTCGCCCCCCTTGTCTGGCTCCTCGTTTTCGGGCCTCCCCGCCCGAAGACTCCCCTGAAACATACGCGGCCATGGACAATCTCCATGGGGCTGGCAAGTTGACGTGCTGGTGGATGGGTGGAGTCTGGGGGGCGGCCCACCAAATAAATGAAACGCGTTCAGTTGTTGTTTGTGTCGGTGGCATACGTGCACCAATCTGCAGGATATGTTTCTGCAAGCGTTTATCATGCAGATTCGAGATGTCATCGGACGCATGCTGCGCCCTTTGCAAGAGGTGAGCGCCTCAAATCTGCCAAGACGGCCTCGTACACTTCGCGGCTTCTGTCACACCGGCCGATTGCCTTCCAACCCCAAGGATCAGTACTCGACTCTACCGGCAATCTGCGTTGGATGCGGCCGAGGTTTCCCCTTACGGCCCATTGGCCAGCGAAAACGGCCGTTTCCACACCCTCCCGTCGGCGTCAGTCGCCACGCGCTCATCCTTTTTCCCAACCCTCCTGTGTGTTGGGTCTTCGGGCCCAGTCAGTTACACGTCGCCTGGCCCTCCAGATCGGGCAAACCTTCTGGGAACCTCCAGGAAGACCCGGACAAGGCTGCCCTGGAATGCACGCAGGCGGCCGACGGCCAGGCCATCGGTCACAGATGTGCCGCACGAGGTCGGGACACCCTGGACACCCACCCTTATCGGGCCGAGGAGAGACCAGTTGGGCAGACAGCTGGTCTCGGTGGAACCAGGGCCGTGACCGTCAGCGGGATCGGACGTCCTGGGGCGAAAAAGAGATTATGCCAAGAGCACCTCCGTTTGGAGAGACTGGGGCGAACGCCAGGACCGGTTATATCGGACTCCCAGGACCGGCATCCAGCGGAACCCGCAGTGGTCTTGCTCAGAATACAAAGCCGAAGCGTGGGCGGAGGTGGTCAACCGCCTGAAGTGGACGTGCGGCGCGCTCTTCGTGGAAGGGTGGAACAAGGCCTGCGACTGGCGAGACGGGAAGGGCCAGGGCAAAGGCACATACAATCCCAAAGGCCACGACGAATTCTGCGAGGCATTCTCGGCAGAGCTGGCCACCGTGAACTGAGTATGACATCCGTCATCTCTGCAGCGAGCGGCGATTGGACGTAGACTGGGACACGGTCTGGCGGCACCAGCAGAGCCGACAGGGGCAGACTGCTGGCAAGGGGCAGGGTGGCAAGAGGCGCAATGAGTCGACCTGGCCCGCAGAAGACCAATCCCGGCTGCGAGGATTACGAGGTGCGGAGGCCCAGAGGGGCAAACCGCCGTCCTGAGGGGCTCTCACGGGCTTGGCATCTACGAAAGCGTGCGGGCGTCCAACCCAGGCAGCCCTCGCGTATTCTCCACCAACCTGCGCACCAGTTAGGTGCTCCTGCCTACATGGTTGTGCCGGTGTCCGTGGGGGCCCTCCAACCCAGGAGGCTCCCGCGGTGGCGGTGCGTACGCTCTGATGGCCCGCTTGGTTTCTCCACCAACCTGCGCGCCAGTTACGTGCATCCGTCTATCCGGCCTTGCTGGTGACTGTGGTGGGCAACCCAGGAGGCCACCGCAACCCCTGCCTCCTATCAGCACGCGCACCGGTCAGGTGCTTCCGTTCTACCTGGCTCCGCAAGTGGTGGCCCCAGCGCCCTTCCAACCCAGGAGGGCGCCGCTTGCTACCCTTCGCGCCAGCCTGCGCACCAGGTAAAAGCTCCCTGCCGTGCCTCCACGGCGCGCCCGCCGCCTAGGGTCCCGCGCATCGTCCAACCCAGGTGATTAACCAAAAAAGACCCCCAACCCATTGGGAAGGGACCGAAGTCAGGAGGGCAAAAACATTAAGGATACGGGGTCCTTTGTGCAGATGCATCAGATCGAACCGCCCATCTCTATCATCCCTCATGCGAATACGGGGACCTCAACGAGGCCACGTCTCCACTGCGTTATTAGGGTTAGCGCTTCCTTTGTGCTCGATGACCACACGGCGCGCGGCCGCACCTGGGTGGCCCCGTTTCGCCCCCCCCCCCCCCTGCTCACCGCCTCTCGCCAAGAGAGCCGCGCGCTGGGCCGCTCCCGCCAGCGTTGCCGCGTGC